CTCATGTCTTGCCTCTTCTTCATCCTTTTTCCTTATACATAGTTTCTCTTTGTCGCACCCCGAGGCCAGTCTTTAAGGCGGGCCGGTCGTTTCGCCCGAGACTCCCTCATTACTTATGATTCTGAAGCGTAAGAATTTGCAACAGCTTCACAGATGGAGAGCGGGTCGTTTTCAAAATGGTGTTCTCGCCTCAGCGCGGCGCATATTCGTTTTCAATATTTGCAAGAGCTTCGCGGATCGAGGGCGGGCCGTTATCAAAATGTGGCTCTCGTATGAGCGCGGCGCATATTCGTTTTCAAAACTTGCAAGGGCTTCGCGGATCGAGGGCGGGCCGTTTTCACAATGTGGTTCTCGCTTTAGCGCGGCGCACGTTTGTTTTTAACATATTCGCAAGAGCTTCACGGATTAGGGGCGGGTCGTTTCAAAATATGGTTCTCGCTTTAGCGCGGTGCACATTCGTGTTGCAAGAGCTTCGCGGATTGAGGGCGGGTCGTTTTCAAATTGTGGTTCTCGCCATGGCCCAGCGCACATGTGTTTAAGAAATTTGCAAGAGCTCCACTGATTGAGGGCGAGTGATTTTCAAAATGGTGCTCTCGCCTTAGCGCGGCGCACATTCGTGTTCAAGAAGTTTACAAGAGCGTCACGGGTTGAGGGCGGGCCGTTTTCAAAATGTGGTTCTCGCCTTAGCGCGGCGCACTTTCGTGTTTAAGACATTCGCAAGAGCTTGGATTGAGGGCGAGTGGTTTTCAAAATGTGGCTCTCGCCGTGGCGCGGCGCACATTCGCGTATAGAGTTCTCAAGAGGTTCACGGGTTCCCATCCTCCACGTACCAGAACTATTTTTTAGGAAGGGTTCTGGATTATGCGGGTGCAGCAGTTACGTTGGTTCCGTGTGCTGACGTTCTAGGAATGTCGTTTTGACACGATTCAGGGTCGTCAATACGCAACAATCATGTGGATTCGTGGCGTTGGACTCCCAGGAGCCATGTTTTGGCATGCTTCAGGGTCTTCAAATGGGTGTATTCCAACGAGGCAGTTACATCAATGGCAATGAACCCGTGTAGGGGCTTAAGAAAGGGGGAGTTCCGAGGGAGGGTTTACTCAAACATCGTTGATGATTCTCTTGGGTTTACGCAGGTCCTCCTCCTCGTCCTCCTCCTCCTCCTCCTCCCCCTCCTCTTCTTCCTCCTCATCCTCCTCTCCCTCCTGCCGCATTATTTGTCTACCTCATCCTCCTCTTCCTCTTGTTGTTTCTCTCGTATTCCTTCTCCTCGTTTTCCTCCTCTTCCTTTTCCTCCTTATCCGCCTCCTTCTCCTCTTCCTCTCCCTCCCCCTCCTCTTCCTCCTACTCCTCCTCCTCCGCATCCTTCTCCTCCTCCTCCTCCTCCTCCTCCTCTTCCTCTTTTTCTTCCTACTTCGAAGCTGGCCCCAGGAGGTCTAGCGTGGCTCAAAACAGCTTCGAGATCGACCAACATAGCTGAAAATGGCCCAGGATACCTCCCGACAGCCTCCAGCCGAGCAGGGCCGAGCGGGGCTGAACAACGACTCGGCGGCGGCGGCGGGGGGCAGGGCGACTCGTTCGGCCACGCTCTCATTCCCCGATGGTTCGGGGGTCTCCCGAACCCCCGAGGGCACGAAACGCTTCCATCGGAAGCGTCGCCCTCGGAACCAGGGGAACCCCTGCGCCCACAAGGAGGCGGGGGCCGAACGATTCGTTGGCGGTGGCAGAAGGTAAAGTGAATTGTTCAGTCGCGTTCTGCCACCCATGGGGCACGAAACGCTTCCATTGGAAGAGTCGCCCTCCGGGGCCTGGGGGACCCCGCGCCCCTGGGAAAGGCAGTGCGGGCCGCACGGCTCGGCAACGACGGCGCGGGGCAGGGCGACTCGGTCGGCCACCCTTTCCCTCCTCATGGGCTCAGTTCCCCCGAACCCCCGAAGGCACAAAAGGCTCCCATCGGCAGAGTCGCCCCCGGGTGTTTGGGAGATCCTGCGCCCACAAGAACGGAGGCGGTGACCGAACGATTCGGCGGCGGCGGTGCTGGGCCAAGTGGCCGTTCGCCCCCTCTTTTCCAACCCCCATGGGTTCGGGGGCTCGCCAATAGCCCGAAAGCGCGAGACGCTTTTATTGGAAACGTCGCCTTCGGAGCCCGGGAACCCCGCGCCCGCGGCACAGGAATCGGGTGCCGAGCTGTTCGGCGGCGGCGGAGGCAAATTGAATCTTTCGGCCACGCTCTCCTCCCCATGGGTTCGGGGGCCCCGAACCTCGGAAGGCGCAAAATGCATCCATGGGAAGCGTCGCCCGTGGGCGTTTGGGTATCCTTCGCCCTCAGGAAAGGAGGCGGGGACCGAACGACTCGGCGGCGGCGGCTGCGGCGGGGGGAAGGGCGAATCGTTCGGCCACGCTCTCTTTCCCCGCGGGCTTGGTGGTCACCCGAACCCCCGAGGGCAAGAGGCGCTCCTAGGTGCTTTTTGGTAAAAAAGAAATCCTCCGGAGTTCTCAGGAATCCAAAGGGCACCGAAAGAATCCTCAGGAATCCTCGGGAATCCAAATTGTGGAGTGACCCTCAAGGCGCACGCGTCTCTGTGGAGTGTCCTGCGGCCAAATGCCTTGTGCAGGCGCCATTCCACAGGGGGTGGGTGAACGCTGACTGGCGGTCTTGCTCGTTCAACCCTCTCACACAAAACACCGTATAATCCAGCAGGAACCCTCCAGAATCCAAAGAAACCCTCAGGAGTCCCTTTGGAATCTCGAAGGAAACCTCACAGGAGCCTCGAAGGCAACATCTAAGGAACCCTCCTAAAGGTTTTTTTTCGGGGGAGGCTTCTAAGGAAACCTCTACGGGGGCATATCAGGAAACCTTTTTTTAAGGGAGCCTGTTTAGGGAAACCTCAAAGACAACTTCTAGGAAACCTCTAAGGCAACCTCCCCCGAGGAAACCTCAAATGACATGTATACGGATCCTCAAAGGGAACCTCTAAGGAGCCTGATTGGAACCTCCCAGGAAGGAACCCGTAAGGAGCCTGAGAGGTTTTTTATATAAAAAAGGAAGGACACAAGGAAACCTCGAAGGAACCTCTGAAGAACTTTTCAAAGAGACCTCTAAGGAGCCTCTAAGGCGTTTCTAAGGAAACCTCCAAGGAACTTTTTTTTATGGGGCCTCGAAAAGGCGTAAATCGAGCCGCCAAAGAGGGTCCATAAGGAAACTCGAAGAAACCATCCGAAAACCGTTTAACAGCTTAGAATGTGGTGTAACATGGTCCTAGTTGGTTGGAATTTGGACCAGAATGCTTGGAATCCGTCCCAGTTGGTTGTAGTTCGTGCCATTTTCTGGTTCCCCCCCCCGCCGGAATGTAAATGTATGGAATATGCACGCACACATATAAATGTACGCATGTATGTATGTTTGTGTATGTACGTAAGTATGTACGCACGTACGTACGTTTGTATGTGCGGATAAATGTGGATATGCATGCATGCGTGCACGCATGTCCGTTTAATTATATGTCAGTATGTATGGTTGCCTGTCGGTTTGTCTGTCTACATGTAGGTATATATGTTGTCCAGTGCCAATACGTGTACGTAGACAAACATGCACGCATGCCTGTATGTATGTATGGATGTATGTATGTGGGTAAGTCGATTTGTATGTGTGCCAGCACGTATTTGTGTATATGCGTGTATCGTAGTGCATGCATATAGGTAGGTCGGTATATCGGTCGATCGGCAGCCTGGGAACTAAGTAGGTATATGTATACATGCATGTGTGTACGTTTGTATGTTTACTTGTTTATGTACATCTATGTATGTTTGTCTTCATGCATGTATATAACTGTGTATGTTTGTAGGTCTGTACGTATGTGGGCATGCATGTGTGTAAGGATACATGTATGTTATGTAGGTCGGTCGGTCGGCAGGTATGTATGTATGCATGTATGTCGGTATGTATGTATGCAGGTGTGCCTGAATGTATGCATGCATATATGGTTGTATGAATGTATGCTTGTACGTATGGTTATGTGTAAATATGTTTGCATGCATGCATGGACAGATGTATGTATGCATGCATGCACGCATCTACGTATGTGTGCACACATGCATATATGTATTCATGCATGCATACATGTACGTATGTATGAGTGTATGTGTTCACGTATGGTTGCATGGATGTACATGTGTAAGTGTATATGTATGTGTACGTATATGTATGGCTGTATGCATGCATGCATGCATGGATACATGTATGTTCGCATGCATGTATACCTGCATGCACGCATGTATGTATGCAATGCGTGCGTGCATGTATGTAGGTCGGTAGATGGGTAGGTAGGTATGCATGCATGTATGTGTGCATGTTTGTATGTATAGGTATACACATATTTGCATGTGTGTATGTGTGCATGTATGTATGTATGTAAGTATGTATGTATGTATGTATGTATGTATGTATGTATGTATGTTTGTATATATGTATGTATGTATGTGTGTATGTGTGTATGTGTGTATGTGTGTATGTGTGTATGCATGTATGTATGTATGTATGTATGTAGGTAGGTATGTATGTATGTATGTATGTATGTATGTATGCATGTAGATGTATGTAGATGTATGTGTATGTATATGTATATGTATGTGTATGTGTTTATGTATATGTATATGTATATGTATGTATGTGTGTATGTATGTTTGTTTGTACGCACGTACGTACGTACGTACGTACGTATGAATGTATGTATGTATGGATGGATGGATGGATGGATGGATGGATGGATGTATGCATGCATGTATGTATTTATGTATGTATGTACGTATGTGTATGTATGTGCATGCATGTGTGCTCCCATGCGCCCTGTGGTGCAGCCGATCCCCCCCTCCCGACTTGGCGCCCCCCCACCCTGCGCGTCCTTCGCTTCCCTCCCCCCTTCCGTGCCCTCACCCTCACTCCCCCCGCCCGCTCCGCCCTCCACTCTCGTCCCCCCTCCTCCCCTCCTCCCTTCTCTGTCCCGGGCCCCTCCTCCACCGCCGCGGGGCTGCAGTGATCCGCTGTCCGGGCCTCAGCGGCCCTCAGGGAGAGGAGCCCGCCCCAGGCCATTCTGACCCGAGGGGGGGCAGGGTGCGCGCGGGGGGGGGGGGGCTGTCGCCCCCCCCCCTGGCGCGGGGGAGGCGGCCGCGGCCATGCCGTCGGCCGGGCGCGTGGCGGAGTACGCGGAGTTCTTCCGGCTGGTCCGGCAGGGGGCCGCGCGCTGCCGCGAGGGTGGACGCGGGAAGGGGGGAGGAGGAGAGGGGAGGAGGAGGAGGAGGAGGAGGGGGAGGAGGAGGAGGAGGAGGAGGAGGGGAGGAGGGAGGAGGAGGAGGAGAGGAGGAGGAGGAGGAGGAGGAGGAGGAGGGGAGGAGGGAGAAGGAGGAGGGGGAGGAGGAGGAGGAGGAGGGGAGGAGGGAGGATGGAGGAGGGAGGAGGGGGAAGAGGAGGAGGAGGAGGAGGAGAGGAGGAAGAGGATGAAGAGGAGGAAGAAGCCCAGTGCTTGAAGTCTGGTCAACGTCAAGAAGGAGGAGGAGGAGGAGGAGGAGGAGGAGGAGAAGGAGTATGGGGGAGGAGGAGGAGGAGGAGGAGGAGGGAAGGATGAGGGAGGAGGAGGAGGAGGAGGACCAGTGCAAACCCAAGACTCATCAACGATGTTGGCAGGCACCCTCCCTCCAAGCTCCCTCTTCATAGGCCCCGACAAAGGTTCACATGTCCACTGAGGTAATTGCCCCGTTGGGGGTCAATCGTGTGAAAATACTGAAACGTGCCAAAACACCATTCTCAGGATTCCAACACCACGGGTTAACCTAAATGTTATGTCTTGGCGGCCCTGAATCGTGCCAAAACGCCGTCGTCCGTCTCCGCCCTCCTCCACAGTTTCTTGGAGTCCACAGGACCGTCCGACTATATGCGAACCCCACCGATGAAATTGAATCTCCTTTGGGCCGTAGCCATTTTGACGCAAGCCACATGGCTCCTACGATGGGTGCTGGCCGCAGAATTTCAGGATCCGCCAAGTTTGAGCTGTCCATCGCTCCTCACGCTTGGACAGGCAATGCTCCCACGCCACGTCCAGCGCCAGGGGCCTTCCCACGCGGGGCTCTGGCTTCCACCGTTGGGCTTCTGTGTCCGCCGACACATTCAGCTCCCATTGTCTGAGTTCGCTAAGATTTTGGGCGTCACATCGCGGTCTACCGATGCTTACAAGGAGTCTCCACTGGCGCCCCTGAGTTCCAAGAAGCGCGGGGAGGTGCCGGCAACTTTGGCCCGTAATGTCTTGGCAGAGTCGGGCAAAACAGTGCACAATTGCATTCCCGGAATCTGCGTAAACGGGTCACGACGAAATCACAAGAATGGCGAATACGATTTTGTGTGTGATGGTTGGAGGGTGGAGTGCAAAAGTTCCCAGCTGCATTGGGTCAAGAGGTCCGCCCATTGGCGTCTCTCCTCTGTTGGAATCAAGCTCGCCCTTCTTGACAAGCTGGTATTGGTTATCAGCAGCCCGACAACAGTTTACCTGTATGAGCACGACCTTTCGTGCGGAGTGAGCCTAAGTGGTACAAGTGCGCATGATCGCGGCCATCAGGTGCAAGTGTATGGCAAGTCTGGTATTGAGCATTGGTTCGACGCTTTACCTGACATGCTCAGGAAATTGACCACGGAGTGTCGCTGCAATCTTCTTGCAACTTTACCCGTGACAGATGTACGTGTAAGGATTGCAATAAGCCTGCATGCGGTTGGTACGAGTAAGACGGAGGCCGCATACAGTGATACATTTCTCGCATGCGTCAGTCATTCGGTTCGTGGGCACTGTCTTGAACGGCTGGCCCGCGCTATTGACCAGATTCTACACCCAGAAGCCGACATCGCAGATCCCGCCGACGGCTTTTGTATCAATGGCAGGCGTCGCGGGAAATACCGAGCCACCTACGATTGGATCAGAAGCGGGGTCCGAGTGGAATGCAAGAGTTCTCAGTTGCTGTGGAATTGTACTACGAAGTCTTGGTATTTCCAATTTCAGAACATAAAGCCTTTTGATGTAGGAGACCTTTCTTACGCAGCGTTTGACGAGCTCCTGCTAGTGCTGTACACCCCGCGAGGCATCTACATCTATCGGCATAACTTGGCCCACCGCGTGTCGGGACGCTGTGTTCGGCTTGTCGCGCCGCGATCTGCCCATGGGTGGTCAGGAGCGCTGGACTCGATTCTTGCTAAGATGGACGCCTCTGGCTGCCAGTGCTTGGCCTTCGTGCGTTGGCTTTAAAGATTGTCCGTCAAGGGATGAATCGGGCGAAGAGAACTATGCACATGCACCGATCCTGGCACGGCCCATCCTTGACCCAGGATCGGTGCATAGGCCTTCCTGGCCAAGGTCGGAGGGCGTATGCACCGATCCTGGGCTCAGGATGGGCCTGGCCAGAATCGGTGTATGTGCATAGTTTTTTTCCTCTAGTTGAAGACAAGAGACCGAAAAGTATGCA